CAACATTTAAATGAAATTATCTTCAAAAAGTAAATGTCATGAACCAATCTAACGTTTCAAATAAAGAACCGATGAGATTTTGCAAATTTTATGCGTTTTTTTTTTTAAAAAAGTTATCAAGCTCTTAAAAAATCACCCGATACATCCATTACCCACCAATTGGGCGCTGTTGCTACATTTTTATTTTGTAAAAGGATGATATGATAACACGGTGTTTTTGTGTCAATCGCTTAGTAGTTCAGGGAGTGCTGGTAGGTTATGTGAACAAGACATCTCAAGTTGGTAATGGATTATTTGGTTGCTTCACTTGGAAACCCAAACGAACTTGCAATTTGAAGCTGAGAACTTAAAGGTTCCTACCTCAAAACAGTGGATTTATTAGAAGTGGCCTAACGTTTTCATTTCATTGGTAGTGTTTTTTACGTAACGGATCTCAAACACAGCGCACAACCCTGGGGAGCAGATGTTTCATTTTCTCACTTTAGCTCCCTCTCAAATGTATATTTTTCAGCTACTGAGAGGATACTTGTTCTAAGATCGGAAGTCGTGAGCTGATTGAGCCAAATGTTAAAGAAACGCTTCTTGCTACTACCAAAAGAATGGTATTCAGAGAACTTTCCCTACTTGCGTGAACTTTTAACATTTGCACAACTGCTCACTGACTGCAGCTTCGGCAACTACGATGAAATAGTAGTTTGGCTTGAAAAGTTATTGGTGTTTAGTTTCTTTTTCGATTGAAGACTTTTATTTGCTGGGATAATGTGAATAAGTTCGGCCTCGGGACCTACTCGGGTTTGACATAGCTCTTGTTTTTATCGGAGGGGCAAGAAAAATTACTGAAATAATTTGGGGAATATTGCTGAGGGGTTAGTCCTTAGACAGCTATAAATCTGGGTCCATTGCGCTTAGGTGAATTGGACTGCCGTTAGAACTACTACTTGAGCATGTCCACGGATGACTGACGTTTGAAGGAGAAAGAGATATTTACTTTTGCCATACTTAGATTTGTGTTCCGACTGTATATAGTCAGAAAGTAGA